TGGCCCCTCATTCCCTTTGGGATCACAGGGGGTTTCCCTGGAGCTCCCGCTTCCCCTGAGGGACTTTCCTGGGAGATTCCAACCACTCCAGGGATCCAAAGGCGCCGGAAGAGCCAAATTTTGGGAAACCCTCTGCTCTTTGCTGCTCTCCTGGAGACACTTGGGAAGTTCAGGGACAGTTTTCCCTTCCCAAACTCCTCCTGCCCCTCTCCAAGGGGGAATTCCCGTGTCCCTGGGACCCCCATTCCCTCCAGCCCCTCATTCCAGAGGGGCCCTTTGGGATCACAGGGGTTTTTCCCTGGAGCTCCTGAGGGATTTTCCTGGGAGATCCCAACCACTCCAGGTTTCCCAGAGATCCCAAATTTGGGAGCAGCTCCCTGGGATGGGAGGCAGAGGATGGGAAAGACATTCCAAGCTCTGGTTGGGATGGGAAGGGGGGGCTCTGGGAAATTCCCAGTTGTTCCCAGAGCTGCCTCTGGAGGCAGGAACCTGCAGAGCCCTTGGAAAAGTCATTCCCAGCTGGAGGAACAAAGTCATTCCCAACTGTGTGAGGGGGGGAGGCCAGGGATGAATTCCCGGCTCTGGCAGGAACAGGAGCGGGAATACAGGGCTTGGAATTCCCTCCTGGAAAGGGACACAGGGCTTGGAATTCCCTGCTGGAAAGGGAAAGGGACAGAAACACAGGGCTCTGAATTCCCTCCTGGAAAGGGCTTGGAATTCCCTCCTGGAAAGGGATGCAGGGCTCTGAATTCCCTGGAAAGGGACACAGGGCTCTGAATTCCTTCCTGGAAAAGGACACAAGGCTTGGAATTCCCTCCTGGAAAGGGCCCTGAATTCCCTCCTGGAAAGGGACACAGGGCTTGGAATTCCTTCCTGGAAAGGGCTCGGAATTCACTCTTGGAAAGGGACAGAAACACAGGACTCTGAATTCCCTCCTGGAAAGGGACACAGAGCCCTGGATCCTCTCCTGGACAGGGATGGGAACGGGGACACAGGGCTTGGAATTCCCTCCTGGAAAGGGACACAGGGCTCGTGTTGTCTGGGATCAAACTGGGATGGGCAGGGAGGGGTTTGGAGCACTGGACATTCCAGCTGGAAGCACTGGAGCCCTGGACATTCCAACCGGGATCATCGGAGCCCTGGACATTCCAGCTGGGAATACCGGAGCCCTGGACATTCCAGCCGGGGGGGTCGAGGTGTCGCTCGTTCCCGAAGACAAGCGGGAGCCGGGACAGGGAAGCGGCTCCCGGATTCCCGGATTCCCAACCCGCATTCCAAGGATCCCGGAGCTCCAGGAGCGGGCTCGGGGCGCCCCCTGGCGGGCAGGTGATGCCCAAGGTGGATATTCCAGGATCATCTCCCGGCCCGTTTCCAGGGATGGAAACGGCTTAGCCCCCTCGGGAATAGGAATTCCCACATTTCTGGACACAGACAAGGGTTTCATTTCCCTTTTTCCTGCCTCAGTTTTCCCAGTTTGTTTTTCCTGGAGCCTCGGGAAAGATGGAATGGGGGGAGGCGGGAGGGGACAATTTAGTTTTCCTGATTAAAATACTCCCGGAGAGGGAGCGGGGGGAGTTCAGGGAACAGGGAAGAGGCTCCCCAGGGATTTGTCCGGAGATCCCGGGGCTTTCCAGCTCCACCCTGGGGGTCCCAAACCTGGCTGGGGGTCCCCAAATCCCAAAAAACATCTGGATTGTGGCCAGGGCAGGTGAGGGAGGAGGGAAAGAGCTCAATCCATGGATCCATCCACAGCTCTCCAGGGAGGAGCAGCCCGGGGATGCACCCGGGGAGAAGGAGGAGCTGCCCATGGATCCATCCCGGCTCTCCAAGGAGGAACAGCATCCCATGGATCCATCCCCACGTGTCCAGGGAGGAGGAACTCCCCATGGATCCATCCCAACTCTCCAAGAAGAAGGAGCAGCCCCTGGATCCATCTCCACGTGTCCAGGTAGGAGGAGCCCCTGGATCCCTCCAGGCAGGAGGAGGAGCCCCTGGATCCACCCCCACCTGCCCAGGGAGGAGGAGCCCGTGGAATTTTTGCCCAAACAAGGGCAGGTTTGTCTCTCCCGGGCCAATCCCGGCAGGAATGCGAACACCTGAGCTCCGGCCGCGCCCCCGAGCCCGGCCCGGCCGAGCTGAGCTCACCCCGCACGGGCGGGGGGGGGATCGAGCCCTCACCTGGCTCAGGAATGTGGGAATTCCTTCCCTGGGGACCCCCCAGAGACCCCAAAGTGGCCAAAGTGGCTCGGGTGGCACCTTTCCCTTCCCTATTCCCGGTTATTCCCGGTTATTCCCGGTTATCCCCCGTTATCCCCCGGCCCGGGGGTGACCCGGTCCCGCAGCCCCGGGGAGGGAGGAGGACAAGGACGGGAGGGACAAGGACGGGAGGGACAAGGACGGGAGGGACAAGGGCAGGAAGGACAAGGACAGGAAGGACAAGGACGGGAGGGACAAGGACAGGAGGAACAAGGACAGGAGGGACAAGGACAGGAGGGACAAGCTCGGGCCGTTCCTTGGGGATCTGGAGCAGGAACGAGGGACACGAGGGGACACCGGGCAGGAGGGACACGGGGGGGACCCTGAGGTGCCAACACAGCCCTGCCTGTGCCAGCTCCCTGGCCCTGTGCCAGCTGCCTGGCCCTGTCCCTTGGCCCTGTCTCAGTCCCTGGTCCCTGTCCCTTGTGCCAGCCCCCAGCCCTGTCCCAGTCCCTGTCCCAGTCCCTGTTCCTAGTTCCTGTCCCATGTCCCTGTCCCGGGTCCCAGTCCCTGTCCCTTGTCCCCTCCTGTGCCAGCCCCCAGCCCTGTCCCAGTCCTTGTCCCAGCTCCCTGTCCCCGTCCCTGTCCCCACCCGTGTCAGCCGTGTCCCAGGTCCCCGTGCCAGCTCCCACCCCTGTCCCAGCTCCCTGTTCCTGCCAGCCCCCGGCCCTGTCCCGGGTCCTTATCCCTGTCCCAGTCCTTGTCCCGGGTCCCTGTCCCTGTCCCTGTCTCGGGTTCTTGTCCCTGTCTCTGTCCCCCCCGTGCCAGCCCTGTCCCTGTCCCGGGTCCCTGTCCCTGTCCCCCCCGTGCCAGCCCTGTCCCAGTCCCTGTGCCGGGTCCCTGTCCCTGTCCCGGGTCCCTGTCCCCGTGCCAGCCCCGCGGTGACTCCGCCCGGCCCGGCCGGACCAGCGCAGGAATTCCAGAGGCTCCGGCGCTCCCTCCTTGTGCTGCCAGGGCCGTGCCCGGGGCTGGAGCCGTGCCAGGGGAGCCGTGCCAGGTTCCCTGTGCCAGGGCGTTCCCTGTGCCAGGTTCCCTGTGCCCGCTCCCGGTGCCAGCCCGTGCCCCGCGGGCCGGGAGGGTCCCTCTCCCATCCCCGCCCTCGCTCCCGCAGCAGCCGCAGCTCCGAGTCCCTCCCGCCCCTCCCGAATTCCTGCGGGGAATCGCCAACATCCCTCCCGGGACAACCCTGGGGGGGCCGAGGGGGCTCCTCGCCCACATTCCCAGCCCGCCGAGCCCCCCGGGATTGGGGCGGGAAGGGGGGAGCGGCCGCTCCAAGGGGCTCCCCCAAACCCTCTCTCTCCACTCCGGCCCCTCCTCCGGCCGCTTCCCCTTCCCAGGATCCCGAACCCGCTTCCCCTTCCCGGGATCCCGAACCCGCTCCCGGAGGGCTCGGCCGGGAGAAAAGGAGGCTCGGGGGGGACCTTCGCGCTCCCCAAAACTCCCGATGGGGTTGGAGCCGGGCAGGGAGTTGGGATCCGGTCCCTGGCCTCGGGTTGTGCCAGGGAAAGTTGAAGCTGGATATCTGGAATGGTTCCCTGTGTCCAGGGAGAGTTCTGGGGGATCTGGGACAGTGTCCCATGTCCATGGAGGGATCTGGGGGACCTTGAGGGATCTGGGGGCTCAGGGATGGTTCCCTGTGTCCATGGATGGTCTGGAGGTTCAGGGATGGTGTCCCTGTGTCCAGGGAGGGTCTGAAGGATCTGGGAAGTGCCCATGGAGGGTCAGGGGGATCTGGGAATTGTCCATGGAGGGTCGGGGGGCTCTGGGATGGTGTCCATGGAGGGTCTGGGATGGTGTCCCTGTGTCCATGGAGAGTTCTGGGGGATCTGGGACAGTGTCCCGTGTCCCTGGAGGGTCTGGAGGTTCAGGGATGGTGTCCCTCTGTCCCTGGAGGGTCAGGGGGCTCAGGGATGGTGTCCCATGTCATGGAGGATCTGAGGGATCTGGGAAGTGTCCCTGGAGGGTCTGAGGGATCTGGGAAGGGTCCCTGCGTCCATGGAAGGTCTGAAGGATCTGGGAAGTGTCTCTGGAAGCTCAGAGGGCTCAGAGATGGTGTCCCTGTGTCCATGGAGGATCTGAGGGATCTGGGAAGTGTCCCTGGATTGTCGGGGGGCTCTGGGAAGTGTCCCTGGAGGGTCAGGGGGCTCAGGGACGGTGCCCCCATGCAGGGCAGACCCGCAGGAGCCCCCCGAGCTGAGCTTTTCCCGGGTGGTCCCACCAGCGTCCGGCGCCGCCCCTTTCCCACCCCTCCCAGATCCCGGGAATGCGGGACGTGGGAACCGGGACCGGGAGCGGCCGCGCGAGCCCAAAGCCGGGCCCGGGGACCCCCGGGACCCAAAGCCGGGCCTGGGGACCCCCGGACCCAAAGCCGGGCCTGGAGACCCCCGGACCCAAAGCCGGGCCTGGGGACCCCCGGGACCCAAAGCCGGGCCCGAGCGGGAGAGGAGAAAGGCCGAGCTCAGCAGGGCC